TGTGAAAAAGCGCTGCTGTGCCGTTAAAGCAGCGCTTTTTCACAAGAGCCCGTGAGTCAAATGAAAATGCCACAAAGGCGAGCTACGAGGTGGCAACACTGATTGCCAAGCACTGCAAACCTTTTACTGAGGGTTTTATTTATGAATTTATTAAAGACTGCATGATGAAAATGGTGGAGAAAATTTGTCCTGAGAAGAAGCAAGATTTTGCCAATGTTTGCCTGGCTCGTAACACTGTGGTACGGAGAATTGAAGATGTTTCATCTGATATTAAGAGACAGTTAGAGGCAAAAGGAGTGGAGTTTGACTTTTTTTCATTAGCCTGTGACAAAAGCACAGATGCATCTGACACCGCTCAGGTATTGATTTTTTTGAGAGGAGTGGACAATGACATGAACGTGAGTGAAGAGCTACTTGACCTCCAGAGCCTTAAGGACCAAACAAGAGGAACAGATTTAATTGTTTCTGTTTGTTCCGCCATAGATGACATGAAACTACCATGGAATAAAGTCACTGGGATTATTACGGATGGCGCACCTGCCATGGCTGGCGAGCAAAGTGGATTATCAACCCTAGTCTGTAACAAAGTCAGCAAAGAAGGAGGCAAAGCTATAAAACTCCACTGTATTATTCACCAACAAGTTCTCTGTGCCAAACACCTGAAATATGATCATGTTATGAAACCGGTGATGAAGGCTATTAATTATATTCACTCCAAAGCCCTGTGCCAGCGCCAGTTTCAACAGTTTCTACTCAACATCCAGGCTGAATACGGAGATGTTGTGTATCACAACGAGATAAGATGGCTCAGTCGGGGGTCTGCACTGCAGCGCTTCTACTCTCTTAGGGAGGAAATTGGACAATTCTTGGCAAAAAAGGGACAACCGATGCCAGAGCTATCTGAATCTGTTTGGCTGGCTGATTTTGGATTTTTAGTTGACATAACACATCTGAACGTGCTGAACACGAGCCTTCAGGGGCAAAATGCAGTAGTAAGCCAACTGTATTCACATATCAAAGCCTTTGGTACCAAGCTGCTACTTTTCCAAAGGCATCTGTCACAAACGCAGCCCAATACCACACATTTCCCATCGCTGCAGGAAATAATGACCAGTTTTCCAC